TAAAAATAAGTGGTTTGTAATTATTTCACATTGCATCTTCAAATACCATTTCTTTTCTTTAACATTAGAACACAGTTGCGTAATGGAACTAACCTTCCTATTGCAGATGAACTAAGAACTCATTTACTTAGGCAAATTAATGATTTTGTGTGAAGAAACAATAGAACAGTTAACAACATCATCTTTGTGAATCGGCATGAATTTATAAACATGATCAAAACTTGTCCAAGACTTATGAAATAGGAAGTACGAGGTTAATCTTCAATGGTGAAATCTCTTGCAAGTTTAAAAGTGGCTGACTCAATTTTCCTTGCAATTCAATACATTCAAAAATGAATTTCATAAACAGGCAGTGGATTTCCCTCTGACTTTCCTCATGCAACACTACAGCGCGGGAAGATGCATGCATGTTATAGTAATATAACTTCTAATACTATGAGGAAGAGATTCACAAACTTCATTGCTGTCTCACTAGTACACCACAACAGAGGGGAACTGCTTGTATTCCTAAGGCAAGCAAATGATTGGAATTCTACACGTCAGACTTCAGATTATCGAATCTAATATACAAGTGGAAATGACACCCAAATGACACAGAGATAAAAGGGAACTCTTGTCTCTATTTTGAACAGAACCAAAAAAAACAAAGTTCAGGAATATACATGCAAACAAAATCTCAATACAAACCTTGCTTATTTTTATGCGAAGACGTTACAGGAAATTTACACAACATAGCTACGTGACACATGCTGACATGATGAGGCCATTCTGCCCACAATTCAATTAAAGGAGAAGAAACAGCAGCAACCACTTGAAATTGTAGTGAGAAATTGTAACATTCATACACTGTACATTTCAAAACACACACCAAAGGATTTTCTTTGAAGGTAAACTACAGAAATCAATTAATTTGTAAATTACTTATGTTTCTCCCTTGGTGTTGCATGCCAACATAGAACACTTATGCCTAACATTAGTATAGGCAATTCAGTACTTGGATCCCTCATTTAAATACAACCAGACACACACCAGTATCAATTGAAGTATTTTGTTGCTGATTTGACCAATTATCTTGGATTACTCAGTAAAGGAGATCTGCATAAATTAGATATGAATTAATTCACTTCAGCTTGCTACTCCTCCTGAGCTAAGCTTTTGCTTGTAACTAATTCTGAAAATCAAGATAAATAAATCCTGTCAAGCCACTTTACTACTGATCTATTGATTAGGATATTTGAGTATTAGTGATTGAATATTGGTTGATCAGAGACATGACCATTGCAGGAAAAGTATTTTTCTGCACAATGACAATGTAAAACTCCCCGAGATGTACTATGTAGAAGTTTCTGTACACTGACCCATTACCCAATTAAAGTTTCTGAATTGTAACTTGTGAGTTGTTTTCCCCGTCGCACACTTGCGTATACCATAGATTGTGGCATACAAGTCGATCTTTGAAGCCTCCAGAAACAGGGGAGTTTTTCACATGGCAAGTATGAAATCCTGGTGTAGGTGGTTGCTATTTTGAATGTGGGAAACAACAGAATACCAGTAATTTACATTAGTTTAATGTGACAGGGATCATTTAGTGAATTAGTTGTACAAAGATACTTCTAATCACTATCAAAATGTTTTAAAACCATTAAGTTCATAGTTTCTTAGCTTCCGCCAAAATTCATTCTCAGTCACTTTGGCTGTGGCTTCATTGTAGGGATGCCGCTTTGATGGGACGTTCACTTTGAGAACCACCTGTCTACATCAAATCACTTCTATACTTTTTGAACAATTTGACGTCAATCAATCCCACAACTTGATACTGAAATCACACAAAACATCAAGTGGAGCAACATGCATATTTCCACACTTTGCAAAGGCTTTTCTCTCCATCAACCACCCACCACGAACATGTTGAGTCATGTACTGAATTGCTGAATTGTGGAAGTCAATCGTAACCTAGCATCCTGCCCCAGCCGGGTATATAACTGAGTGTCACAGTGATAATCTGCATATGGATTGATTGATTGAGTGATTGACTGTCACGTGTACTGAAGTACAGTGAAAAGCTTTGTTTACGAGCAGTACAGGCAGATCATAGTTAGCAAGGATGTACAGATCAAAAAGACTTAGACAGAGGCATATAGGTTACATTGCACAGAGCGTGCACTGGGTGAGATCAACGTTAGAGAGATCAGCATTATTTGAGGCTAGAGAGTCCATTCATCAGTCTAATAACGGCCGGGAAGAAACTGTTCCTGAACCTGTTGATGCGTGTTCACGCTTCTGTATCTTCTGCCTGACAGAAGAGGTTGTAGGAGATCAATACCAGTGTGCGATGAGTCTTTAATGATGTTGGCAGCCTTTCCGTGCCAGCGAGCCATGTAAATCGAGTCAATGGATGGAAAATTGGCTTCTGTGATGGTTTGAGCTGTGCACACCACCTTCTGTAGTTTCCTATGGTTCTGGGCAGAGCAGTAGCCATACCAGCCTATTATGCACCTGGAGTATATGCTTTCAATGGCGCATCTGTAGAAGTTGGTGAGGGACCTTATGGACATGCCAAATTTCCTGAGCCGCCTGAGGAAGAAGAGGCATTGTTGTGCCTTGTTGACCGTAGCATCTGTATTGACATAGGTCATTGGGATGCCTATTCCAAACATTACCATTCCACAACTATACTCCATCTTCATCTATCTAACCATTGTCATAAATTTATACAAAAGTTTTTGCAGGGAACTTGATGTTCAGCATGGTTTTAAGTTTGAAATTTATCAAACTGTTGGCCAAGCAGAATAGTACCACTGTGAATCTAGTCTTCTCGTGACTTGCAAGTTCCACTGGAGTCAATTGAATTCAAACTTTTCCACTGCACAGTTTGGCTACTGGCATTTGAATTTCATTGTCATTTTGCCCATGGTCCTAACATAACCCAATAAATATTTGTGATTTTACCATTGTCTGATGATGAATTGCTGGGAGCTGGCCATTTTGGCATCAGATCTTTTGGTAGGCACTGAGTGATTTTGTCCTTCTGCCACAACACTAGACAATTTTGTTCCATAAAGCAATCTCATCAACTCGTCTGAAAATCTTGCAGCTCTGCATATATACACAGTGCATGTATACAAATCGTATTCCTGGTGTTGACATAAACAATTTGATGACTTCTATGATCCCATTCTGATGAATTTTGCTCAAAATCAGGCCAGTGGTTGATCCCTGTTCGGAAGGTCTTGGACATCTTCTTCAGGTCGGATCCTTCTTCTTCCATTCTCACACCAGTTTTTTACCAGCACAGAATTTCCTTTCTGTGGCAGTTAGTTGATGAGTTAGCAAATGTTACCACTTTTAGCTTGACAACAGCCTTGTGTTTTGTTTGTTTTACTGCAGGACCCATTTCTGCTCATCTTTCACTACGTCTACATGGTCCTCTCCAGGTAGGCATGGTGAGAGATAGTTAGACTCCTTTGCATCACCTACTTGATTCTCTGTCCTAACTTATAGTACAAAGTAAGGAAAACACACCACTCTGAGGATGAAAATTTTAGGCCAACCATAGCAGAAATGGTTAGCGGAGTCAACTTGTAAGATGAACACAAAAAGCATGATTTCTGGAACAGAACAAAATTGGGTCATCTTTTTGCCACTATCTACGGTATTTACGTTTTCAATTCTGTCAATCCTCTGTGCATATCTTCGTGAAACTTTCCCATTAGTAAGCTGCAATTCAGGAAATAATAAGTAGCGATAAGAAAAATAGTCATGCTAAGATATAAGCACATGTTATGAACTGCTAGGCATTCTTTGGAAGAATAACCTTGAAAGAAAGAAAAACGATTTTTTAAAGTCGTAGATAGATATTTACCAGCATTATTTAAGGGTGTCAATCATTTATGTGTTATTATGAAGCTTGCAATGCAGTATCCTATAAATTATATTAAAATATGTACATGTACTATTTTTGCAGTACTTTTTTCCAATATAAGTTCTGCTGTTCACATTTATGGTAAACCTTGCCTTTGTAAACTAGTTAAACAGAAATTACAGTCTCCCATAAGTGGTGGAATTATAGCTTCTCAATATCTCCCACTTCCTCAACCTGCAGAGAGACACCAAACCTCCAACAGACTTCTTCTCAAGCTGATGCATGTTTTGTTATTTAACCATAAATAATAGTATAAAATCAAAGCATTATATAAAAAAATTGACAGAATAAATGACTTTAAATTGATACAGTATTATGCATGCCCTGGTCTAATCAACTTTTGTTCTCTTCTTAATACTACACATGATCTCAACTCCCTAGGGAAAGCTTTCAACTGAAGTCAACTGGAAAGAAAATGGGGTAGGGTACACTACCTTGCTATTGTCTTTTTTGCTGTCAAACGTTAAGGATTCACCTTGCGTGCAATGTAGCAGGAACTGTCTGCATAACAAAGCACAAAAGCAGACCTCCAGCAGCTCTTTGACAAAGAGCTTTACAATAAGTAGTTTTACAGAATACATTTCCCTTTACACATCTTTCAATTTGACAGGCTATAGCCTCCTTTAACTGGGGTTTAGCAGCTCAAAATGTGAGCATCCTCATTATAAACTCTACAGGAATTCCATCTCAAATTTATACTCATCATCTTAATCCTAACACTGGGTTTGACTGACTCCTAATATATTTGAGTATTAACATTTCCCACACAAGATTACAACACAAACATTCACCAAATTGACAGCTGCTTGCTTTAAACAACATTGATAACTTTTCTTTCTCTTTGTATGTAGTGGGGTGAAAAGTAACCCGCATTTGATCTGCTAGGGCACATCTCTCACAGATGTAAGTATCTGCTCCTTCCAGTTCTACAACTAAGAGGCACAAGGTTACAGAAATAAAACAAAATCAAAGCCTTTATAAATTACACCCTTTCTATTTAAATTTAAAAAAATCTAAGAGATTTCTGTTCAAAGTAACTACAATCATTGTAACAATATATTCACACTGAGGAAAAAAGTTTCTGTAAGAATTCCAGACACAGTTTTTAATTAAACAGCCATTTACAAATTCAGAATTGAAAAGCAAACAGGGCTAAAAGATGACAGGTTCAGCCATGAACAAGTGGCCAAGCCACTGGTGATGTAATCGCAGGAAGCAGAAACACAGTCACACTAAATGTCATATTCTTCATTTAGGAATTAGAATTGCCCGGCAGTGCTGGGATCGCATTGGAGGAGACGGACGATGGAAGGATCACTTTTGGCACCCCGGATGAACTCTTCAAGGGATAGCTTTCCTAGAATAAACAAGGAGAATTTCTGAACATAGTTCATATAGGTGTCATCAAGCAGACTAGAAAAATGCAAAGTACAGACAAATGGGGAGATGTTGGACAGCAAAGTTCACAATTTTTTGATTTTTTAAAATGTTTTTCAATAACAAGCATTATGTTTCTCCAGACAACATCAGACTTAACTGCGTATTTCAGCAAAACTTCTTTCCACCACTGGACTGCCTGAATCTGTACTCAGATCAACAATTCAGCCCTCATGCCTTTTGTCACAAGGTTTTCATGCTGTTTCACTGTGAATTAATCCAAATAACCAGCTGAAATATCTTGCCTGTCAAGAGTGAGATGGAAGGTCTCCCCCAATCTCTGAGTAGGTCAGTGCATTGTAGAACTAGGTACCAAACAGCAAGAGAAAAACATGCAAAGACTTGGGACTGACACTGGAAGCAATAATGGATTTTGGAGGGAGATGTGACCTTGACAGGCTCATATTTCCCCTCAGCATAATTCGCCTTCCACGTGCTCGCAGTTCTGATGATTTTGTTTATCTCAACCTTGTTTACCAAAGATCACTGTAGATATATTGGATAAATCCATTTTAAAAAATAACTGAAATAAAGATGGAAGCTGTTTTTTCCATCACAACTTCAAATAGCAGACCAGATGTTAAAAATTACAGACAGGTTCTTTGATCGTCAGATCAGTCAAGATGAAGAAATTTGATCTTGAGCTGCTAATCAAATTATTGGTCCTTTGAAAGGGAACGGGTGTTTTATTTATAGAGTCTAAATCATGACAACCTGGCACAAATGTGGCTTCAGTTGCTGGCAAGGTTAAATATGTAAATTTACAGACAGATTTAATGCATCTAAATGGCTGAACTATCAAGAGAACACTGTCCAAATGTAAGCTGTTTTAATACATTAATCCAACTTGCTTATTAGCTTATCATTAAAAGAGATGACTGACAGCTATCTTTTGGTTTGGAAAATATACCACATCTTTCATTATCTTGAGTCCAGTTTCTGGAATTGTCATTGAAGTTCATCAGCCAACAAGATTGCATTGTTTACATTTTAAAAATCACATCAGTAAACGTTTATGAAAGTCTCCACTATCAAAATACCTTATTGTGTAATAAATTTGTTGAGAAATATGTTCTGGAAAATAACAGTTTAACTCCTGTGCATATTCTATTCTCATTATTTCCTATTTCTTGCAGCTTTACATGTGAGGGCCATGTCCATGTCCCAGATTAGAGAGCTGATAAAGATAACCAATTTCAATGCTCTTCGCTAGAACTGTATTTATGTAGATTGCTCATGAAGAAAACAACAGGACTCATAGACAAAGTATAAACTGTGATATTAGCCTACAAATAAACTGCACGACAACACCTGCATTGCCTGTTGCTGGTCCAAATTAATCTTAGCTGGGCTGTGCTCACGATGGGAAATGACCAAGGTTCCCATTCCTGACTGCTATTTAGTGACCATTGGTAGAAAATGTCTGTGTGTTAACAATAGATATGGGTAGGCTCCAATGTGACAGTGTTTTTTTCTCTTGATTGACCTGTCTGGAAATGCTCAATACTCATCTTTAAAAAAAATGTTCTCTTAAGCAGCTACTGAAAATAATCTTCAGGGAAGGTGGGCAAAAGTGCAGAGGAAAATAGAATCTTTCAACATCTAACACACTTATGAAGAATTGCCATTTGTGCCTAAGCATCAGAAATAGTGAGAGGTTATAGATTAATGGATCTGCAGGAGTCACTGTCTTCAGGTGAGACAATGAAATATTAAATGTGATGATAATTTCCCAGGTAAAGTAATATTGATGGCTACCAAAACACAGAAGCATTTAATTCCTATGTGTTATTTCATTGCACTCATTACCTCAGACAATCTCAGTTTGTGCTTATAAAATACTGGATGAACAACTGCTTTAAAACAGCACAGACAGGAATTTTCATGTCAAGTTATAACGTGCTAATAATATTGTACTCATGCATGTGTAAATAGAACTGAAATGTTTAGCATTTTATTCACCGTTCTTCAACTAGTCATATTGGAAAGAAATGTATATAGTTACAGTTTATATTTTGCTTCCCCTTTTAAATACAGAGCATTCTTTGGGAGTTCTCCAACATACTTATTATAAAAGGTAAGTGCTAATGCACAATGGCATATTCTGTAAATACAAAGAGAGCGATGGATAATGGGTTATACTTCCAGTCAGCACTGCTGAATATTCTAGCACTAAATTTTTTGTGGTATGTTTTTAATCTGTGATATTGAACAAGTATAGGAAGGGTTAGAGGGATATGGGCTAAATGCTGGCAAATGGGACTAGATTAATTTAGGATACCTGGTCAGCATGGATGAGTTGGACCGAAGGGCATGTTTCTGTGCTGTACATCTCTATGACTCTATGACTAAGTTATTTTCAGAGGTTGTATATGAACATTATCAGTCAACAAATATACCCCAGTGTGTCTTATGTAAGAGATCATAATGATGAGCTGTTGGGGAAATTCTGTAAAAGTTAAAGATTGGATTGGAGGTGATTATAAATGAAGTCCTCGGTAGAAGCCAGGAACTTACCATCTCGGTTGGTATCCATCTGTCTGAAGATTTTTTCTGTCCTTTTCTCAGGTGTTGACTCATCTTCTGGCATCTTCATCACAGAAGAAACCATTTTATAGATTGCCTATAAAAAATTAAGAAAGGTACATCAAGCAGTTTTGCATTAACACAGATTCTCATTCATCAGTTGCTGCAGAGTTTCGCTATCAGCCTCATGCTGAGTTATGTACTTATGCATTAAATACAAACTTGCATGAAATCATTATTATTTCCTTTTGGAAGCTAAGTTAATGTGAAGGCAATCTGGTCCCTGTTACAAGCTTTGGCCTTACCTTGGATATTGCTTTGTTACAGTGAGACGGGTCACTGCCATAAGCAGTTCAACGGCCTATATTTGTTAATGGATCAATGCTTTCCAATATCAATTCACATCATACCCATGATCTGAGCTTGACATTGCCTTCATAAAAGCGAAATACTACAGACATTGAATATCTGAAATTAAACCAGAAATCGTTGGAAATACTAAGCAAGTCTAACAGCATCTGTGGAGAAAGAAACAGTTAATGTTTTGAGTTGAATTTGACTGTTCTCCACTTCATATTTGACCTGCTGAGTATTTCCACCTTCAAGTGTAGTGTCATGCACATTCCTCCAATCATTTTGAAGACAGCCAGAGATGCATTGGTTAGACAAGGTCAGGTTTAAATGGAAAAGCTGCCATATTATAGAATCCCTACAGTGTGGAAGCAGGCCATTCAGCCCATATCAACCCACCAAAGACCATCCCACTCAGACCCACCCTCCTATCCTAACCTATCCTATTTCTGCAACGCTGCATTTTCCGTGGCCAATCCACCTAACCTGCACATCTTTGGACTGTGGGAGGAAACCAGGGCACCTGGAGGAAATGCACACAGACACGGGAGAATGTATAAACTACACACAGACTGTCTCCTGAGACTGGAATCAAACCCAGGTCCCTGGCACTGTGAGGCAGCAGTACTAGCCACTGAGCCACCGTGCCACCTCTACTGTATCAGAAAGCATAGAAAGTTCAAATTTGTTTCAAACATGTTAGTCAATAAAATCAGACAACATCAGATTTTCCCGAGAGAGAAAAAGCAAATTGCTACAAGCGCAGAAAGACAGTTGATAAACAATTGTCACCTCAATTCATCAAAATTCCTGAATTCTTGAGTACAAGAAAAATAATGAAACATACACCATGCTATCTCTATGACTCTTTTAACTATAGATGGTTGTCTTATAACACGATAGTTGTGTTCTTGTGTGACCTCGCGCTATAGAAAATTGCGGTAATAAAAATCGCATTATAGGGAAATCGCTATACCTGTACAGGAGAACATTCGCGTCATCCCAACAGCATCCACTATTCATCAATCACATTACAGCCAATTCGCATCAACGAGACATGTGTTATAGCAGAACTACCTATATTCCTATTCAGCCTACTGTTTGTGGCCAGCGCTGGGTTTGATTTCACCGGGGTTTTTCTTGTTAGGCTAGGCTTCCTTCCAGGCCTTGCTGTCTGGCAGACCAAATATCTTCTTTCTTCTTCCCTAGCGGAAGTGGAAGACTAAGGTTGTCACTCCATCTCCAATTCAGGGATTCAGTCCTGTCAACTATAACTAACAATCCATTTTCACACAAGTCTACCCATTACTAAAATAGAGATCTGCATAGAATTCACAGCACAAAAATAATTCTTAGCAGGTATCCTCACACCGAGTTCATCTCAATATTTGTGAAGATTCATTGGAATTCCAAACAACTTTATATATCAAAATTATTTTGATGTAGGTGTCTCCTCTGAATACTGAACTACAGTTCCCACCTCTGCTGCCCTGTGAATTTAACCCCTTGAGAATTACATTTCCCTCAAAAGATAAGAAGTCAAGAAGATGTATGGCATGCCTTCATCAGTCAGGTCATAGAGTGTAGAAATTGGCAAATCATGTTGCAACTATAAAGAACTTTAGTTAGGCCACATTTGGAATATTGCATCCAGTTCTGGTCGCCACACTACCAGAAGGATATGGAGGGCTTGGAGAGGCTACAGAAAAGGTTTACCAGGATGTTACCTGGTTTGGAGGGTAATAGGTCTGAGGGGAGATTGGACAAACTCAGTTTGTTTTCACTTGAACTTCGGAAGTTGAGGGGCAACCTGAAAGGAGGCTTACAAAATTATGAGAGGCATGGATAGAATGGATAGTCAGAGTCTTTTTCCCGGGATAGAAATGTCAATTATTAGGGTATATAGGTTTAAGGTAAAAGGGGTAAGTTTAAAGGAGATGTGAGAGGCAAGATTTTTATTCAGAGGCTGGTAAGTGCCTGGAATGCACTGCCAGAGGTGGTGGTAGAAGCAGATACAATAACAACATTTATGAGGCATCTTGACAGATACATGAATAGGCAGGGAATAGAGGGATACAGACTGCATAGAGGCAAAAGGTTTTTAGTTTGGAAAGACATCATGTCTCGGCACCATCTAGGTGGGCCAACTTGATCCTGTGCTAGTGTAGCAATAACAAGGTGTAGAGCTGGATGAACACAGCAGGCCAAGCAGCATCAGAGGTGCAGGAAAGCTGACGTTTCGGGCCTAGACCCTTCTTCAGAAAATTTCTGAAGAAGGGT